CGAGGGTATGCCCTATCTTTAAAACCGGCAAGAATTCGGAAATAGTAAATTATAGACCGATTACTATAATATCAGTGTAGGTACTCGAAATTAGTTGAAATAATTTTATCGGACCTCATTTATAAGCACGTAAAAAACACAATTTCCGAATTTCAACATGGTTTTGTGAAGTGTCGTGGCACTGCATCAAATCTTTGTATTTTTACACAATATGTTTCTGACAAACTGGACTAACGTAAACAAGTTGGTGTGGTGTATACGGACTTCAACAAAGCATTTGATCGTGTTTCACATCATCAGTTGGTCATGAAATTATCAAGCTTTGGCATTTCGAGAAGCCTTCAATATCTGCTGAAATAATATCTTAGTGATAGAAAATTATTTGTGGAATACGAAGGAATTAAATCGTCTATATTTAATGCAACTTCCGGGGTTCCTCAACGTTCAAACTTGGGTCCACTATTATTTCTTCTGTTTGTTAATGCTATTTCTGATAATATCAACTCTGAAAAACTACTTTTTGCTGATGATATGAAGATTTTCAGGGAGATTGAAGACTACTCTCATTGTATATCATTACAAAACGATATACACATGATTGGTGTCAGAAAAATGAACTATCATTAAACATAGGCAAATGTAAAATTATGACTTTTGCAAGAAAATCCTCAGTACAAATATATAAATACAAATTGATTAATATAACATTGGCAAGAATTACCGAATCGAGAGATCTGGGTATTATCTTCGATGAAAAACTAACGTTCTCGTCACATATCGAAGAAATAACATCCCGTGCAATGAAAATCCTAGAATTTGTTATGCGTATTAAAAAATAATTCGAAACTAATTCGAAATTGTATTCAACATCGATAATCAGTTCTATAGCTTGATGTAACTAATGACTTTCAATAAGTCTGAAATCAGAATAAATCTAATGACAAAAAATTTATTTGGTTGTAAAAAAGCGTTAGGTGTCAATCTGGCAGAAAGCTCCTAACTGAATATTTATAACAATGGATATATAACACTCCAAGTTTTTATACAAATAATTTTTTTTGTAAATAGATTCATTCTGATTTCAGACTTATTGAAAGTTATCAGTTACATCAAGTCATAGGACTTATTATCGATGTTGAACACACACAATCTCAAATTAGTTTCGAAATACTTTTTATTTTCTAGTTTGTGTCGCTATTAAAGCGTAGTTTTTAGTTTTTTTAACTATTATTTATCAGTAATCACACGTTTAAAGGTTAGACCTCATTAGTCCTTAGATCGCACAAGTTTTGATATTTATTTCTCCCACCAAATAAATCTGTATAATGTATGTGTCAACGCTTTCAAATTTCACTAGAATTAGGGTTGAAAAATTCAATTATTGGCACAATGATTGTAATACCTAGCACAAATTGTTACGGCATGTTTTAATTGGGCGAAATTATCTCTGAAAGATAATATTCGTATTGAAATTCTGCTGGCATAATAATAATTAACTCAACAGTAAATTATTCAGTGAACGATGTATTTATTGAAATATTGACATATCAATTCGATCAATTCATTACCGCCTGCATCATTATTGATTATGGCAGTGGGCGATAATCTTGTTGATAGATTGGAGTTAACGGAAAACAAATTCTTGGAATAACCTGGGTATACTTTCTTATAAAAGAACGATATTTTTTCACAGTTCGGAAAGTGGATTACATGACGAATGTCACATGCGTTTGTGTGTGTTATTGTTAATGTCTTATCAATCAGGCTTTAGACAGAAACATTCTTGCGAAGAATCTACAGCTAACCATAACATAAACATAAATGGAAAAAAATGAATTGATAGTGGTGATTATGTAGTTGCAGTTTTCTTGGACTTGAAGAGAGCTTTTGAAACGATTGATCGACAAATACTGATTGATAAAGCCATAGGCTTACAAGGTAGTGTATTGAAATGGATCAGGGACTACCTAACAGATCACCAAAGTGGAAAATCTAATTTAGGCTCCCATCACCAATAACTTCGGGGTACCACAGGGAAGTGTCTTGGGTCCTTTATTATTCCTATGCTATATCAATGATTTACAATACTATCATGACTGTGATTTTCTCAATTTATTCGCAGATGACACGTTACTGCCAATCTCAGCCAAAGATATGTATGGTACTATCAACAAGATGAACGATTCCCTATCAAAATTACAAGTATATTTCAATATTAACAAAATGTAAGGCAATGGTCCTAACCACACCCTTCAAATAGAAAAACATCAATTCAAACCAACTCAATCTGGAAATAGATAACAATAAAATTGAATTCATAAACCAGTATGAATATGGATTCATACTTGATGATAGCCTATTATTGCAAAAGCTGCAGAATGGCGGTATGAGAATAATAACTGAAGTGTAATCGTTTTACCAGCATTGCAGCGATTTTAGATTGTTTGCAGTGGGTATCGGTGAAAAACAGATTTTATAAATTAACAATGATTTTTATTTATAAGATATTACATAAGCTACTTCCAGATTATCTAAGTGAATTTACTACGAATAACTCCCAAATACATAACTATTCTACTAGAGGAAATAATATGTTCCATCTTCCTAATTGGAAAATGGCAAACTCAATGATATAGCTATTCTATAAAGTACTCGATGAGTTCAATAAGCTACCACAAGACATCAAGCAATCTAATACCATTTATATATTTAAAACGAGGATCAGTAAACATATCCAGTCGCTATAAATAACCAGAATGAATTACAACATAATCAATCTTGTTCACACGAATTTATATACCTACTTTAAGTGCATTATTTTATTTTTTTAGTATTTGTCTTTCTTTTATTTTTATTATATAACTATTAGTCTAGAAACATGTTTGTATAGCAGTTTTTTTCATTTTATTTTAGGACATATCCTACTAAATAAATAAAGTTCAATTTACTTCGTCTAGACTAGATCAAGGGTGGACGACTCGGTTAGATCCATGATCTACCAAATGCATACTTTTTGAAATCTTAAATGAAACATCATAGTTCATTCAGTACACAATTATGTTGTTATTTCCATTTTATCTGAAAATTATTTACAGTAAACATTGCCTCTGAGCATCTTCCGATAGATTAGTAAAGTTAGCTTTGTTGTTGGAAATTGCCAACCTTGAAAAATCCAATGTATGAGCGTCTGTCAAGCGAAAACAGTATTCAATTTTGTGATATTGACTAACTGTTCCTGAAAAAATCCACTTAATTGCAAAATAGGTTTTTCTGGAATAGCTTGGCAATGCCGCAATGAAAATTCAAAAAAAAAATCCTCAAAGGGTGTTCTATTTAAAAAAAAATATAACTTTGGTTGGCCACGCTTGGCTGAATCACTCAGTATGCGAGAAAATAATTTAAAAAAATAGTATTTATCAATATGATTAGAAAGAAAATCGAGCAGTTCGACAAATTATTTCCTCGCATAGCAGTGGAAGAAGGGAACCTTGTTGACTCACCCTGTACATACATACAGGGTGTAACATAAGTATGTTAAAATATTCAAGTGACGTATTCCTGAGACAATTTAGAAAAAAAGTCCACACACAAATAATTACTTGTGTTCGGAAATGCTTCATTTCGGAGATACAGGGTGTTGAAATTGAATTTTTTTGGCTCTATTCAAACTGTTTGATGTTGAACTGTCGATGTTGAACACAATCTTAAATTAGTTTCGAATTATTTTTTATTTTCTAGTTTGTGTTGCTATTGAAGTGTGCTTTTTTAGTTTTCAAACTATTATTTATTTTACACCACTAGTTTGGCTTGCTATTTCAAGCCCATTTGTTTTGATATAAAATATATACGCATGCACAGACAGTGTTGTTGTCTCAGTTGCTCTCACACAGAGACTGTGTGAGGAAATTATTTAATCCTGGCGATCCTGATCAGGATAATAAGATAAACTTATGAAATTATTGTATTGTCACCGATTCTTAATGAGTGTACAAAGTTTAAAATACATTCGTCCGTTTGAAGTTAGTCAAAATTGATTCCAAAGGAGTCGGTTACAGACAAACAAACATACAAGTGAAGCTAATATAAGAGTGTTAAAAATTCAGGCACCTACTGGGTAAAATAATAAACAGTAATCCACTATCAAAACATTTTTCTCGTGATTTTCCAGTTAATCATGCATTATTTGATCAATAATATTTTTCAAAGTCCGGCCTTCCGGCATCCACATTTGATGCAACATTTTCAATGCAACCGCAGTGGACTTATTTCAACAGATTATCAGGAGCTAATTTTCCTGTTGTTTTGTTTGGTCGACAGGAACATAGTTTCCGTCTTTATCCTGCACGATTAACCGAAAAATCACGATACAAATTTTTGACCGCGAATTATTTTTCGTTTATTTAACCAGTAGGTCAAAAGTGTCTGGTCCAAGCCAGGGTACCTATTTCAGGACGAATTTTCAACCCTTTGGGAATATCATGAATATCAGTCCTAGAATTCCGAGAGGCGAGACTTTTTTAGCCTCCTCTTTTTGCCTCCTCTTTTTGAATCTTTTTTCAAATTTGTAAAATGTCGATTTATTTTTCAGATATTTGCAAAAAAACCAAACCGAATTTTTTTCAGTAGTTTGTTTATAACATTTGCAAAATCATCTACATTTTCCGGAGGCAGAGAAAAAGATTCAACCTGAAAAGCACTTGAAGTATTGAATAAGGAGAGGTAAAAATTAATACTTCTATTCATGGGCTGTTGAGCGTTTGCCGTTTGCATTCATCACGAATAAAAAATTGTGATTCACATTCAGTAAAAGTTGTGAAATTTTTCCAAGTTGATGATCACTAGTTGATTCAATCACATTTTTTATAATTGGCCAATTTTCTCTGCTTTAAATTATGACATAAACTACGGTAGCACGGAACTGTGCCCAAAAACAAACACCTTGAGAAATACATCAAGAAGACAAAAACTTTGAATCGCAGTTTCACATAACAATCACCTACCTTGCCGGAAGACAAAATTTAATATCCAAAAAATTGCTCGCTGTCACACTATCAAAACAAAACAAACGAAACGATTCAAGTCATTCCCGATTCAGGCCAAGCACACACTAATTTACATTCCGCGCATCAAAGTGATTATGCACCTTCGCTTTTCGGTTAAGGCAGAACTTGAAGCAGTAAACTAAACATGAGCTATTAGTTGAGCACTTGCCGGCCGACTACGGCCCTGAATTTGTTTAGCGACGTTGCCGTTTCGTTCGAATGATGACTGGGAACCACAGAACAGTGTTTCTATAGCTGTTTCAGTAGCTAATACATGTAATGAAATTAATAAGCTGTAATAAACAATTTTTATATAGGAGTACAGTTCAGGTAAACGATATAGTGCAACCTACCTTCCAACAGGAACCTTTAATAATATAGTTAGGGAGCTAACTATTTTCGTTATTCAATAATAATTTCTAATTATATGAGAATCACAATAACTATATAATATTTATATAATAAAAATATATATAACAATATACATAATAAATATTGCGTTTATATAGGTGAGTGGGAAAGTAGGGATTCAAATAACAGGGTGATAATTGAAAATACTTCTGAATACTACTTACTGACATAATATGTATACAATCGATCGCTTTAAGAACACTTCACTAACTTTCTTTGAAAGCTTCTGATGATTTCTCTCTCATATTCTCTGTTTCACCATCACTGTTGTTATTTATATCAATAATGAATTTATTTCCACCATCAATATGTAAGTGTTAATATAGTCTTTTCCAAATGAAATTACCTACTTTTTTAATCCTTTCCTTCCAGTTTTCTTCGGTAATATTAAATTATTCTTCTTTAATTCGCCCTATTACCCTTTTATCAAATTCTGCAAAATTATTTTTACGCCTGATGCTTTATTTCCATTATCCCCAAATCAACTCGATGGGATTGAAAATACAAAAATAGGGGGAAAGTCTCAGTGTCCATACTTTTCAGCAATACTCTCATACACTTTTCAAATGTTTATGTCTGTAAAACTCCAAGTAGTTGGTTTTTGGTATAGAAATCTTCAAAATACGAACTGTTATCCAGTAAAAAACTAGGTATTTCATCTTTCCTCGAACTTTTATTCAGTACTTTCATGAGCTGTCGCGAATAATAGGAAGCGTTGTCAAGAACTATCACACTATTCGCATCCAAATTTGGGATCGATGTGTTTTCAAACCATTCCTCAAAAATATTAGCTTCCATGTTCTTATGATAGTCAACATTGCAGTCCTCAAGTTTATTTCCACATAATTTCAAAGAATTCGGAACCCATCCTTTTTACTTCCTCCGCATTGCACAATGATTAGTCGCGATCCTTTGTTTGCAGGCATGTTAGGCCTACACATTATCGAACCATCAGTCCACCCTTTCGTAACTGTGTCGTGAGGGTCATACCAAATTTCGTCCAAATAGAAAATTTGCCGTTGTTCTATATTTAGTTATTTGTTCTAAGTATTTGTTACTTCCACTATTCTTCCGCTTTCCATAACTGCTTGACGTTTATTTATTTCAAATCTAAATCCTAGTTTTTTTATCCAATTCTGAAGAGTTTTGTCACACCAGCTCAGGTTATGGCCGGAAGTATTCAATTTCTTTCATATGATTTCAGTTGTAGGATTTTAATTAGATGAATATCTAAAGGTTGTGGTAATTCTGTATCACATCGAGTCTTGCGTTCATAAAGTTGGCTTTTGACTATTTTACGTACAGTTGAGAAAGGAATTTCGATCAAATCTGATGTTGCTTGTAATAGTTTGTTATCCTCGAAAACATACTTGAGGTGTAGATTGTTACATACATTAAAATATATTCTCTGTGTTTCAATATTCAAATGCATTCGAATCTTATTCACTAGTAATTCTCTTTTTCACTACCGCCATTGGAATCACTACACAGGAAAAAGTCTGCGTTGTTATCACACTCGTTGTTACTATTAGTATTCGTCCAAGGACGCCACATTTTGAACAGATAACAAAAATTGTAAGTAATTATAACTACACCAATATCGAATTTCAACACTCGAATCGCGATCAGTTTCTGAACTTAACACGATGGCAAAAACCATCTCCACATTCCCCGATTTCTATTCGTCACCATAACATGACTTCAAATTCAATTTTATGACTCTTCAACCAATCATAAAACTCGGTTAGTAAAAATCATCCAATACGAACCGCCAAGTCGACAGTTAACGTGGACTAAATCGCTGCCGGTTCATTTCTATGTATTGGTTTTTTTGGCCTTTGAGAGTGCTGCCATCTTCAAGAATGCTCAATATCGTTTACTTCGACTATACCTAATAAACATTTTGCTTTGTGAAAAAAACTTTAAATTTACGCAGTAACTTAACAATGTTCATATTCATCAGATTGTGGAAGGTGAAATTTATCTAAAAGATCGATAGAAAAGCTATGACTTCCTTATTTATTCTATCTTCATTCTCCAACTTTTCATACACTTGCTACAATCAAAAATTATTACACATCTTTGCAATCGCGGAATGAGGACCAATTAGATCTTTAATTGCTAGCATGTGGTGAGACGGTGGCCTAGTGTTTTGACTCAATCAACCTCTGCGTGAAGCGGTGGTTCAAACCGCAATTCATGTTAGGAGTCACACGTTGAAAGTTAAGACCTCGTTAGCCCTTAACAGTTTTTGAGAGTTATCGTTTGTAGGGGGGCGATAGCTGAATAAGAGAAAAACTAATTTTAAAATATTTATGGAGCTCCTTTCCTAAGGATATTCTGAGACTGCTGCTTTCCACGAAAAAAGAAAAACGCCTGATTGCAGACCCAAATACTGCACTTTCTTATTTGGAAAGTATCTGGGTAATGAATCTCCTAGGGATTAAACTTTTCCTAGATGTTTCTACAGAGTATGTGCACATCCATGAAGAACTTTTTTCATTCAGTTAATTAGTTTAGCGATTCAACAATTTTTCTGAATAAAGGTTGGTTGGGTAACATAATCAATTTTTTCTTAAAAAAAACAATTGTTTTCTTGCCAACGTTTCGATTTTAATTAAATTCTTCTTCAGATATTTTTTGAAGAAACTACTTCTCGAGCTCCGAAGAAGAATTTAATCAAATTCGAAACGTCGGCAAACAACAATTGCTTCATCTATAGGAAGCTGCGGTGTTAACGAAATGCCTTAGCAAAATACGTTAGTGAAATGCGTTAGCGAAATACGTTTCTTATGAATATGCACAGACTCTGTAGAAACATCTAGGAAAAGTTTAATCCCTAGGAAATTCGTTACCCAAGAATTTCACTTTCCAAATAAGAATATGCAGTATTTGGCTGTGCGATTTTCTAGGATAAAAAATTATTGTGAAAATAATTTTAATAATAATTTAAACAATAAGTGGTGTAATAACACTTCCAAAATATGAATCATGAAATTATAAAACAACAACAAAAATTAACTGGCGCTCCAGGGCGACTTCATGGATTCCAGTGGCGCATTCGCATTTTCAGCTGCAGGAAAACCCGGAAAAACCTGCAGAACCACATCTGATCTGCCTCTCTTAACAAAACAAAATATAGGGTGTCTCCAGAGGCTCCAATAAATTCAATACATCGCCACAACACTTAGTGACACGACTATCGTCAAACTTAAGCCAGTTCAATAACACCATCATGCTTAGTGTTATTGATCTCCATCAAGTAACGAGTCAATCCATTCATCATCTGTATTGATTAAAAAGTACCTATAAGTGAAGATATGAAACAAAAAAGTCACAAATCTTCATCATGTTACTTGACTAACGTGAGGTAGACCATGCTGCATGTAGAGTTGACTGATTTACTAGTTCAAATGGTCTACTGGAAATCTCACGTTCACGAATGAACCATCCGACCGCAATAATTGTTCTTTGCCGGTGAGGTAACCATTCACTCAAGATGAGTACAAAGAAGACCGTTTCACATCAGAATAGAACCTACTTTTGTTCCGCTTCTCTGAACGCTAATCTTCTGAAACTCACCGGAACTGGCAACACCGTACAATATCAGGAAGGAAGGTGTTGCACGAGAAGGGAGAAGCTCACGGCAAGGTCGGTTTCTACTACTTTCTGTGATGACCTTGTGGCCATGGTTATCGAAGCGGAATCTCGTACCTCCTGCTTTGTTTTTTAATTCCATCGATTGCTTTGTTTTTCTCTGACAGTGGAAAATTAAGTACCTGACTAACATCAGACATCCGTTTGCAGAAACCGGAACGTCCAAAGAAGCTTTACTTTTTTGTCACTTTTGAGATCATGAAATATTAAAATATCTTCAACATCATTCAACTCGGAGAATAGCGAATAATTTTTATTAAAGGGAAAAACCCACTTCTGTCTGTTTCTCTATTTGAATTAAAAATGATTAGCAAAACAGCGAATGACTTTTATTGAAGTATATTTTTCATTTTGTTGGAAAAACTATTTGATATTCTTCCTCTCCATCAATCTTGAGCCCAAGCTGCATAGAATATCCCTGATGTGATCACTTCTCTATATTATTTCAAAATCTAGAAAGGTTAATGCAGTCAAGCTGCTGGAAAATAATTCCATGAAAATCAAAAGATAAATAAATAAGTACCATTCTGATCATTCCCATATTGATTTCAATCCAAGTGCCACCGGTATACAGCTGTTTCAGCCTGTTGGGCATCGTCAGTACCAGGCAAGCGCTCCTCGACTGAAGACAAAATGTGAAAAACCAAGAAAAGTACATAATAGAAATAACTGCGTGAACGCAAGCGAGATATAAGTGGAACCACCTATTGGTGTGACACCCAAATCAACTTGCCAAGTTTTTATGTCAGTATTGGTGGTTTGACCAGTCAACCGACAACTGCGGTAGCAGAAATTTGGGAAACTAACCTGAAATGCCATCGGAAAACGAATCCACATGTTTCTAGTTGATTGGTCAAACCACCAACACTGACATAAAAATTTGGCAAGTTGACTTGGGTGTCACACCAATAGGTGGTTCCACTTATGTTTCGCTTGCATTTACGCAGCTATTTTTATCAAGTACTTTCTTGGTTTTTCTAATTTTGTCTTCAATCGAGGACCGCCTGCCCGGTACTGACGATGCCCAATAGGCTGAAACAGCTTAAATTGAAATCAATATGGGAATGATCAAAAAGTACTTATCTATTTATTTTTTTATTT